AAGGATTCTATGATTCTAACTTAATACTATACTGAAGTGGTTGCAGCTGAGACAAGATGGAAGCATAGGCATGGCCTCCTTGAGCAAAGCCAGCTCCAAAAGTCTCCCACAGCGACCAGAGGTAGGGCAGGGAATTCTGACAGGCAGGGAATTGCTGGATTTGCCACTCTGTCCACAGCTAAAGGGCAGGGGGTAGGGGAGCAGTGCAGTGCCTGGGGTCACCATGCTGCTCCCACACGGAGCTCACCGTGACGTGCTTCATCTCCGAGAAGAGGATCCTGTTGGGAATCTCAACCATGTTCTCATGGAGGAACTTCCTGCGTTCACACAGGGGCCTGGAGCAGGGCACAGACAAGGAGGGACAAGCAGCTTCAGCACAGAGTCACAGCATGTGCACACTGAGAAAAGCTACTTCAATAATTAAATGATTTATCCTACAGAGTTCCAGAACGGACAATCAGCTCTTAACTTTCCTCCAGGAATTAAGTTATAAAATAGATATTTTGTCTCAAGAGTGCATTCAGCTTCAGAGGATGGAAGATGAGCTGGGTACTGCAGCACACTGTTCAGTTAAAATGCAAATCCTGGTATTTTAGAAGTGCAGAGCAAGACAGCTCTGTAGTGAGCCTCCTTAGCACAGCAAGGGTCCTCCCTGGCTGCTCTGATTTGACAGAGGTGAATGTAAATCCCTCTGCAGCAGCAGAGTGGTCCAGCAAGTTCATGCTGGGAAGCCAGTCAGGCTGCTCCCCCACTCCACCAGACACATACCTGTCCATCAGGCTGATGTCATTGAAGTAGATGCAGTCAAACACAAAGAGACAAACGTTGGCATCTTGGAAAGCTGCTTTCTGAAAGAGAATTAAGACCAGTTCAAAGAAATCTGCAGTTGTAGCAGGCAGCAATATGGGGTTTTAGAAGAAGAATAGAAACAAAAGAATGTATTTTTATCTCCATAATCTTTTAGTTATAAGCAGCTTAGGCCTGCTCTAAAAGAAGTATTCTGAGAATTAAGATTTAAACTGGATGTGTCAGAGCACAAACTAAGAAGATAAAACATGCTAATTTCCCAGTGACAGGGACATAATGCCACAAATATTAATGACTTTGGGCAGTGCAACATCCATCACTGCTGCTGCAACAAAAAACCAACCAGCATTCCAGAGCCTTCAGATTAATGGCTACTTTCAGCTAAAGCACTTACAGACTGATTTTCATTTGTCTGTCCTCTTCCTCATCACCATTTCCTCTAGGCACAAGCACAGACTGAACACTCTGCATCACTGTGCTCTTCCAGCCTGCCACATATTCCTTAAGCAATGACTGAGTTGGGAGTTCAAATGGGTTTTTAATATTTATCTTGAGCTGAAGTTTTCCTACTGTCCTGCTAATGACCTGGTTAATATCAAATCTGCTGTATTAGAGCAGTACTTCCTCACCTTTTCATTAATATCAGCCTTCTCAGGGATCTTACTCTTCCCTGGATGCTCTAGGGAGCACCAGAGCTCTTAAATTACCCCATGCTCACAGACTGTTAGTGTTTTAGCAGAAGCAGAACAACCTTCAAGCACAACAAAGGATTTCTTATTTTTTTTTTTACCTTGTGCACACCAAGAGTCCCAAAAGGAAGTGGCTTGCCAGTTTTATTGTCAATCAGAAGAACTTCTGAATCCAGGATCATACTCTGCCCACCAGGGAAAGCCTGAGGGATGTAGTCCTTAAAATGGGCTACCTTGGGAAATAACAGAAAAGGAAAATAGGTCTACTGGCTGGATAGAGGGACTCACTTCAACACAGGTGCTCTCATGTCTGAGGCATGTGTACACAGCTCTGCACCAGCTTTACTTTCTCCTATGGCACAGACAGCAGTCTACCAGCAGAAAAATGAGTCCTGAACAAATATCAATCCCCCAACCATCAGTCCTCTCAAAGTGCAGTGCATGAGGAGGACTCTAAGGCAGATAGCTTAACTTCAAGTTCTTCATGTCCACAAAAACTGATCACAATTCTATTAAGTGTTGCTGTTCCAGACCCCAATTATCTACATAAATTAGAAAAAAGTCTACAACAGGTCTCCTCCTTGCCTACAGAAACTGTTGAGAAATGCAGTTGTGTTTATAGAGGAGCTGGCACAACAGAAGACAGTTTATAGGTGCTTACTTTATGTGGGAGGACAGGTTTGAGGCTTCTGCTGAAGTAGCTGAAATGATCTCCATTTTTGTGGACCTGCACTCGCTCCCCATCATACTTGATCTCTGCATACATCCCATTTGGGCACTTCTTCATGGCATACTCAATTGACTTGCAGGCTTCAGCCTTAGAAAGGTGGAAAGAGGCAAGTTGCAAACAAACTCAGATGAGATATTTAAAAATAAAGCTACTCTTCCCTAAGTTCATGAATGAACTATCAATACCTCTGGGATTTCTGATATTGAGCCTAAGTTTTCCTTTTCTCAATTACTCATTGACTTAGAATCATCTGCATATGCCCAGATAATTACAGCTTTTCAGTGCTCATCTCCTCCAAATACTTCAAGGTGTGGTGCCTTTTGTAGGAGTGTGCTTAGTCCAGAAGCAAATATTTAACTCTGACTTGTTCAAACAAAAACCTAAACTTATTTGAATCTCTAATCCAATGGAAAGCTTATGATATTTCCAGAGAGAGGATTAGCTTCTGGAATCACAACAAACAAGGAAAAAAGTCACATCTGGACTGAAAGCAAGTCAAAATTTTAGCTTCTGCAGTGGCACTGAAGGTACTGAGCAGACTGGATGCTGCCCTCTCAGCAGAAAACACTTCATAAAGTGGCATGAAACAAAACCACAGCACACTATCAGCTCACACTACACACAGTCACTTCTCTGCCCACTGATCCTGAAAGGTGAGGGTCTCTGAGTGCAGGAGAACTCCATCTCTTGCTCAGCTGAGGGCCAGCCCTGCAGGGGAGCCAACATTACCAGCATGGGCTGAACTGGGGTCATCAGAGAGGCCTGCACGCTGAGGGCTCGCTTCAGCCCTGGCTCCTTCTCAGCCTCCTGCTGGTTCCTCAGCACTCTCTCCACCACGTCCTGCAGGTTGCGGGAGGCTTTGAACGCCTCGTACGCGTTGGGATCCAGAGCGTCCAGCCTGGAACACAGGGAGGGGAGCAGGGACACTCTCAGGTCTGCTGCTCCTGGCTGGGGAGGCTAACGCCTGCTTCTGGTTTTATCTCACAGTGGCAGGCAAGACTTACACATGCTTTGCTCCAGCATTCATTTTCAAGTCATGCTTAATGAGCCTGATGATGCATTTCAGGTCGTTGCCCGTACATCTGAAACACAAGAGAAGGTTCAGACATAGCAGACATTTAACTGAACTCCTTTCCAGCTGGAAAAATAACCTGATCCAGGCTTCTGTAAAAAAAAAAGTCCTCCCCTCCTGTAGGGTTGAAACTCAAATGAGGTGTAACTAGTCTCAGAGGCACAAGGGAACATCCAATGGGTGTTCTGGCATCTTTATGCCTGAATGCCAATACTAATTCTGCCTCAGTGTTCCACCTTCCAAAAACCATTCAACAGTGACAGTAACATCCTCAGCCTCAAAACAAGACAAACTGAGCCCAAACAAGAATCTTCAAAGTCTTGACATGGTCTGAAGGCTCTTCCCAACATACCTGAGAACAGCAACTTAATTAACAGCCAGGTACCACTGAGGTAGCTCTGCAAGCCACTTGTTCAGCACTGATTGAACAATGCCTTGACAGGCAAGGATGAAATTCTCTGGCATAACAAGGGCCACACATTCTCCATTGCTGGTCAAGGTGTCTTTACTAAACCACTAATAGTGGCTTGCAGATGTTCAGCCTCTGGGGCTTACAATTAGTTTTTCCACCTATTCCAGCTTGTGACAAGCAGGTACCCACTCCTAGTTTTAGAGTCAACCTTCAGAGGCTGATGACTCTCCTTACCTGCGACTGATGTGCTGCAGCACACTTTGCTGGTCATCCTCCTTAGTGAGCTTTGATAGCTGGAAGAGGAATTCATCCACCTCCTGGATGGTCAGGACACTTTTGGGTGCTGGAGGACAAGATTTGCTCTGCTCAAAGAAGAGGCGTACGGTCTCGGACACATCTCCCTGTCTCCAAAGACAGAACAGAGGTGTGGGTCAGAGCTCTGGCTGAGGGGTGGGGATGGCACTGGGGAGTCAACGTGGTTCCAGGAAGGAGGAATGATGCTAGGATTGCATGAAGGAATTGAGTCAAACATCAGAAAAAAGCTGCCACAACACAAAGAGTACCAGTGTCATCTCAGTGCTCTATTCTTCACTGCTGCAGCACCACAGACTCTTTATTTCCTAATTAATTCCCTTCATTTCCACTTGTAAATCCAAGCATCTGAAACAGTCTAGTGACATCACTAGAAGGCAGCATATACCAAGGCAATAAAGAGGTGAAAGAATTCACTTCATCCTCCAATTCACCCATTTTCTCCCCCTTGCCATGAATGAGTGTGTGCACAGCCAATTGCCAACTCCCACGCAGAGGAATTAAATGCACACACGTGAGCATTTGCAGTTGGACAAGTGTGGCTGAACTGTATGAACCCACTGAAGCTTGCAGGAACTGAGCTCTTAACTGAATCACAGTTTCTGAAATGTGATTTACAAAAAAAAAGAACATAAATCAGCCATGGAGGAGTGTGCTAGACAAAGCAGTTTACACAGAGTGGATGCAGCCCAGCTTGCCTAGATATTTCAGTCTTGCCTTTTAAAGTTTAGCAGGTGAATTCACATCTTGCTTTCTGTTCAAACATGATTTTCTAAAGGTTCCAGATGGCAGAAAGCACTATGAAAACCACTAAAGAAAAAAAATGCAATTCACCAGCTCCCATTCTAACAGACAAGCTAACCATCTTCCAAACAGGAGTACAACCCCCCAAAGAACACTCTGGAATTTCCACACCACAAGAGCCTGACCAGCAGAAATGATGAGAAGTGCTGTCTGGACTCACCTGTTCCAGGTCTCGGACCATTTCTTCTTGGCTGCAGTTAAAAATCCTGCTAAAGAGCTTTACAATCTGCTTATCATTCAAGTTGTAAACGATTTTAATGACACCTGGTAACAGCAGCTTAATGGTCAGGTACACATCACCATGAAAACCATCTAGGAAAAAAAACACAGACCATTAGGAACAGCCACAATTTACTTTCACATCCAGGTTCTGGTTGTTGATGCACAGCAGCATGACCCCAGGGAAAAAAAAAATTCAGCAGCTGGAGCTTCCTCTTTCTACCACACTGCTCTGCTTCAAATGAAAGATTTCTTAGGGGAAGCACTCAGAATTTCTTCCAAATCTGATCTCTGCACTCAGTTGGGCAGCACCTACAAATGTTTCCCATAATCTTAGACCAAGACACTTGTCTGAATTTGTTACTTAGACAAACAGTTCACTTTGAAAATGATTTCTGTGTAATTCAGAAACCACCCCAGCACACAGCCTGCACTACACAGTACCCAGATTTGACTTCACCCTTGCTTTTGAAACAGGATTTTGAGGGATTTTGAAAGGCCTTTCCTACGTGGGGAACACCAAGCAGGACTCATACCTCCTCCAGAGCCCTTCTTCAGGAAGTCCTGGATGATCTGTGTTTTCACATTGTAGCTGGGCTTCTCAGCAACCATGGCACAGAGCTTCCTGAACTCCCGCAGCAGGCAGTCCTTGTGCTTGGGGTCACACCTCTCTGCAGACAGGCTGGACTTGTGGCAAGAGTTGGCAGAGACATCTTCTGAATTTTTAGGTTTGGCTGCATCAAAGACATAAGATAGTGCCTTTTTTTTTTTTTCCAGGTACAGTATGGTGCAAGTTTTGAAGCTGAAGCTACCTCTGCTTGGCAAGGTGAAAAGAACCACCCCAGTAGGCTGGCAAAGCTTCCAAACTGAATGGTGATGTGTGCAGTGCCAACATAGAATCATAGAATCCTT